TTTTTTTTTTTTTTTTTAAGCCTGTTTTGGTGTATTCCTAGGCAAATTCTTGAAATGTGAAACCAGGATAAGAGTTACTGCTGAGTTTTCTTGTCGCAAAGAGATTCTGTTCATCTGTAGAGTTATTTCAATGCATCTTCTTGACTCCTAAGGGTGTCTCTGTTCTGGGCGCTTACTTAGTGCTTTCCACGCCGATTTTATTTGCATTGTAAACATCTCAGTAAGTATCTTAGATTTTGTTTCTTTATTTACTTTGGGCAAACGAATCATCACATCAGTGTATTTAAGAACCCACGCTCTGGAGTCAGACATGATTCAAGTCCTAATTCTAGGACTCAAAGCCTGACTTCTAAGACCTGCACCAAGTTAGACTTTTCTGTGCCTTGGATTTCTCATCTGTGAGATGGAGATAATGAGGACCTACCTCTGAATATGGTGATGAGGTTGAAACGAGGTGATGAGCACACTCTCTGACCCAGACCTACAACCCTACACAGATAAAATCAGTGCTGCTATTTCACTTACAAGAGAGGAGCCTACAGGGAAGGGGAACGAATGTGGACTCATCTCCACCTAAAGGGTGATAGAGGCGGTTGTGCTGGGGTGCGTTCTCTCTGGAAAAGGTTATATTGCATTGAATTTATCTGGTGACCCTCTTAATATGTTTATCCCCAAAATCGAGTCGCTTAGTAAAACATTTGTAAGGGTGAAATAAATGTACATGTAAGCGAAAGCGGAGTCATCTTGGTCATCTAGCTGATGCGAGGGAAATACAGGTGAGCCTCTCTCAGGGGTTGCCTTGTGAGCGCCCCACAACAAAATGTGCCAAAAGTAGCTCTTGAGAAAAAAAAAAATCTCTTGGGTTCAGGCTCCTCCCATTTCTCAGGCAGCTTCCTGGCTTCTGGTCCTTGAGTTCCTTCCCTGTAAAAATAAAAGGATGGGGATTTTCAAGGTCCTTTTTTTCACCCTAAAAGTGCCCAGAATAGTATCAGATAATTGTGGAGAGGTTGTACTATACAGGATGTAGAGCTGAGCATTGTGGGAGATTCAACTTTGATGGAAGGCATTTGGGACCTTCTAGTTTACACCAGTTGTTCTCAGGGGGTGTCCTTGCATGTCCAATGGCAGCCTGAGCTGCCTGAGGTAACTAGTTAGAAATGCAAAATGTAGGGGCTCCTGGGTGGCTCAGTCTGTTGGGTGTCTGGCTTCAGGTCAGGTCATGATCTAACGGTTTGTGAGTTTGAGCCCCGCTTCAGGCTCTGTGCTGACAGCTCAGAGCCTGGAGCCTGCCTTGGATTCTGTGTTTCCCTCTCTCTGCCCCTCCCCTGTTCATGTTCTGTCTCTCTCAAAAATAAATCAACATTTAAATAAATAAATAAATAAGAAATGCAAAATGCAAATCATGTGCCTCACACCAAACATTCTGAATCAGAAATTCCCAAGTGGGAGCAAGCAATCTGTGGTTTAACAAGTCCTACAGGTAATTCTGATGAATACTAGTTTTGAGAACCTCTCCTTTACACAGTACTTTTCATACATTATCTACAAACCAAAAGGTTTGTTATCTCCCTGATCATTATGTTTGTGCTGAGCACTTTATAATCTCATTTTATCTTTCCAACACCTGTGAGGGAGGGGGAACCTTGTACACTCAGTTTAAGCGCATTGACATCCCTTTACTTCTCTGAGAGTCCAGTTTTTCCATCTCAGGTCCTTCTTCTCAGGCTAATGTCTACTTATCCTTCAGGACTCTGCTTATGTGTCCCCTCTCCCGGGAGGTCCTCCCTGATCCTGCTGGGTTAGCTCCTGCTAGTAAAATTTATCACAACAGAATTTATCACAGTGGAATTTTTTGTATAGTTACCTATTTAATATTTGTATCCTCTATTGACTCATAAGCTACATGAGTCAGGGACCCCGTCTGAATTACTCTCCAGTGTATTCTCAGTACCTACCATGGTGTTGGTCATATACAAAGTGCTCAGTAACTATTTGTTGAAGGAATGAATGTTGAATTCCTTATCTACTTAAGGGGAAACTGAGGCTCAAAAAAGTTAAG